TTCTTAAAAATTGCCTATTTGGCGACATTTTCCCACCTAGATGAAAATTATCCGAACCACTGCTTTATTCTCAGTTTTTGTAAATGTTTATGAGACCAGGTTATGCAGCATTGGAGTAAGTTCTTAAAGATTAAAAAATTAGACCACAAATGCTTTTCATTTTCACAAAACTGTGGCTTTTCCCCATTTTGATGTTTTGCGCCATTTTCAAAATAAGCGTAGTCAGTGCTGACTTTAGATAGGCTAAACTTGACACATCTGTCATGAGTAATAGTTGCAAATTCACAGCAGTTATACAAATAGTATATTATTCTCAAAAAAGCATCTTTTCATATTACGACGGAGACTTTGAAAAGCAGCATTAAAAGCCATTTTCAGAATTTAATAATAATAGAAAAATTTTTAAGATTGTTAGCTGTATTGAATTATAGTTTGGTAGTTAGCATTTTGCTTAATAAACATGGTAAAAAAAATAATAAAAAAGCGTATGAGGTCCCAAAATCTAAATGTGTAGCAAAAATTGTTCTGAATCATAGATCACTAAAGCTTGAAAACTGTTTATAAATTTAAAAATGATTATGCATGTAACTTGATAAACATAATATTATTGTAGTCATACTCTAAATATCAGGATAGAGAATCCTTTACTGAACTTGAATTCACCAAAATGTTGGAAAATACGGAAACTAAATAAAAAATATATATAAAAAAGAAAGTAGTATCTTTCTAACTGAAAATACGCTTCTTAAGCTTCGAATTCCGTATATTTGAATAACAAATACAAATGCAAAATTTTTTTTCTTTGCGAAGGGATTAATGTTGCAAATTACAATTTGATTTGAAGTACTTAACATCATAATTAAAATAAGCACAATAAACGTATATTTTTAAATGTAATTGAACTTTTTAGGAATTGATTATTACAGATAAAAAAGTTATGATGCGAATTAAATATAGAATTTTAGTAATATTAAATAAAAAAACCCCGATTTTTATTCTAGATAATTGATTGTGTAAATTATTTGGGAAGAGTTTCCTCTGTTTACGTAAAACAAATGATTTTTTTGGTCAGGAATGTTGATTTCGTGTTGATATCAAGTTGATGAGTTTTAATTGGATACCTGCAAATGACGTCATCGTAGGTGAATTATGGCATAAATTCAGAATAAACACGCCTGTGACCAGGTATTCAATTAAATCTGATTAAATCACTTGGTTAGGCATAACTTATTTAACTTCTTCTCAAGTAGCAAATACCCAACTGTTAGTAAATGAAAAAAATAATGTTTGAAATATTGTAAAGTTTTTCCTTTTTTTAAAATTTAAAAGCTAAATTATTCCTTTAAAATTTTAATAAATAGGAGAATTTATTACTCTTTGTCAAAAAGGTTTTGAATTCAACAAATCTTTTTCGAAAACTATACTTTAAAATATGAAAATAATACAGTTTATAAAGCAAATGATTCTATGAATGGTTAAGATTTTTTAACTTATATTTTTAAACTTTTATTTTAAAGTAACATAAGACGTAGCAATTGTTCGGACAGAAAATGATTAGAAAAAGAGAAATATCATGAAGAAAAGTCAATAAATAATTTTCATTTTAATGCAAGAATATGTAAAAAAAAAAAGAAAAAAAACTCGACGAGATTTTATTTCGAATCGCGGAGAAATAGCAATAACACTTTCCATGCTAACTGGTTAGAGCCCTGGTCACGTAGGCAGAAATGAGCTTAACTAATAATGGGACGACAAGATTATCGTTTTATTTTATTATTTTCATTTGAGTTTATGTTTATGAAGCTCTCTTCAATAGTTTCATTATTTGTTTTATTACAATTCCATAAAATGCTTGAACTTCTTTTTAATTAATGTAGGTTGTAAATAAACACGAAGTATGTACAATGCTTCAAAATAAATAAATAAATAAAATAAAAAAAGCAAATAAATAAATTAATTAAAATGGACTACCTGAATAACTTTTATTTTTATAATCGGATCTTCACGTTCTAGGACTCCTTCTCAATGGTTCGAGGGAGTGACCTCGAATTAGTACAGACGATATTTTAAAATACAAAATCAGATACAAAAATTTACTTTCTCTGAATAAACATACTGTTTTCCCCAGCGGATTAAAATTTCTGACCTCCAAAATATAGGGGGTAGTCAAAATTTGGAACATAGGATCCTAATAGTGTGATCAGGAGAACGATCCAAGGTTTGGATCCCCTAATGTTAATTTTACTTTTTGCGTTTTGCACCATATTTGAGAACATTTTAAGCAAGTTTAAAAATTTTTGCACACAATTATAAAATTGGTTTATCAAAGATAATTCCATGCAAAAAATAAATTTTAGTAAATATTTATTGTTTTTTATTATTTTATTAAGCATTAATTGAAGCATTTTTATATTGTAAGGTATAAAATTTTTTACATGATTTTAAAGTAGAGAAATCGAGTTTTAAATATACGAATTTTTAAAAATTCAATTTCTCAGTTGGGAGGAAGGCTGCTGCTCCAAGATTTGAAATGAGGACCTCCGTATTCACAGAAGAATGCTCTAACCACCATAGTTTTACACCTCCGTTCAGGTAGAATTAGAAAGCTTTATAAGTGGTAGCCAACAATGACGCATCATGAAACACATATCATTCTTCTGAAGTGTTTTAAGATATAGTCAAATAAGCAAAAAGTGGAAAGAAGCGAAAAGTTATTGAGACCATATTTTGCAAATTCATACTCTTTTTACCATTGAAATTGGAAATTAGTATGTCATGATTGCGGAGGCTACTTTATAAAGTTTCCTGACTCTCCCTGGACTGGGGTTAGAGTTCTGGGATGGTTGTTAGAGTTCTTACTGCGAACACGAAGGTTAATGGTTCGAATCTTGCCGCAGTCAAAGAACATCTCTCTTATACATTACCTACTTTTGAGGCTAAGCATTTTTCTCAAAAACGAGTATATGCTACATTAATTTATGCACACGCAGTTTCAAATTCGACTATTTTTTGTTTCGAAGCTATTTGAGCATGTTTTGAGAATTCCTTTTTTATAGTGAGTAAAATAATCTTAAAGCGTAGCATAAGAATAATACAATGGTAAATTTTTTTTTTACTGCCACAAAGGGAGAAAACTATCAGTAGATGGTAAAATTTACTGTGTTTCTGGCTCTATGGGAACGCCAAAACGCTCGGTAATTTTTACCGAAGAGCTTTGGTAATGAGTTTGGTAAAATTGACAATAAAATATCGTTTTATAAGATGCGATGCAAATTTGGAAATTGTGGCAAAATTCATCAATTTTATCATGGTAACTTAAAACATGGTATAAAAAACATTTATTCGATTAAACTTACTTTCCTATTTCGTATTTTTTACCAAACATGCATTATCAAGAACAATAATTTTGAAAACCAGAATTTACGGTAAATCGTTAACATATAAGCGAAAAAATTAACAAATGAATGTTTCAAATATTTTGGTTTGATTAACCCGAATTATGTTATTTTTTAACCAGAAATATCATTACCATACAAGTACGGTAATTTTACCAGACTTTTTTTTACAGTGTTCCCAAAATTATTTTTATATTTCTTCATAAGAATGAATTTGTGATAGGAATTTTCACCCTTTATAAGGAATTGTAACAGCTATATCATGTGATATTTGTCTGATGGAAATGTTTCTTTGAATTTTTAAATTGTCTAATCTACTTACTAAATAAATTCATCTTATGTGGCCTAATGGTGGAATTTATTAAATCTTATCGAAAAGAAAATTTTTGATAACTTTTAAATCAAATGCATACAAAATATGCCTGCATTTTAAACAAGTATTACTCGAAACAAAAGCTTAAGGATATTAAATTGTTGAACCCAGCAGGAAACAAACATTACCTTCCTATTTCTATTTTAAAATTTTCTTATCAAAAAAAGGGAATTTAAACGTTCCTTTAATCAGATATCAGTTTTCACGGTAATTAATGTCATCACAAAGTGTAAAGAATAAGAATAGACATAAATAAACAATGTTTTAAACAAAGTCTTACAGAATTGTTCAAGCATGCCTAGGAGCAAACAAAGAGGGGAGGGGCATTTTTTTTGTTTGGTTACTGAAGCATGTATAATTCTTCCGTGGTTCGTCCAGTCACGTGTTATAGGAAGAGGTTAATTTTTTCATTAAAAAGGGTATTCATTTCATTTGATTACAGCATTCATTCTTTGTTCTCTGTGAACTGAGCAGTTTATATTCTTGAAGAATTTTGAAAGTAAGTAAATTATGCAAGCTGTAAAGTTACGTAATTTAAAAAATGCATGATTTTGTTTGGTAATTTTTTTGTAATTTAAGAACATAATAAATTAAGATATTAATTACTTACAGGGCAAATAACCATTGTATCTGTCACTAATTTAGCTGAAATTTTTTTGCGTAAATTGATGGAAAGATTGAAAATTAGAATGTGGGATACTTTGTATATTTCTCTTCGGTTACTGAAATATAATTTTGTTTTTGAATATTTTTAGTTTTGACATAGAAAACTGTTTTAAAATGTTTTAAATTAATCAACGCATTTCGATAACATATTGATTTTTAAAATAAATTTTTTTCTGGATATTTTTTAATTTTGACAAAGAAAACTATTTTTAAATGTTTTAAATTATATAATCAACGCAATGGAATTATTTATTTCATTTTAACGGAATAGGGGATGTTCCATACATTGAACTGGCATTATTTCAAATAAATATTTCACTGAATAATATTTTCAAGAAAACGTTCGTTTTTTTCCCATTGGTTTGAAGAAAAAAAACTAAGATTTTTTTGCTAAAAGAAGTGTAGAAAACTATAGCAAAAATGTGTTTTATCAACTAACCAACGCCTTATGCAAAAATGCATTTAATGCCTTTGTTGTTAAGAGAAAATTGTAAATTTAAATAAAACGAAGTTAACTCAGAAATGTATTCAAATTTGAACGATAAAGTAAAATGTTGGATTCAAAATTAGGTCATTTGTTTTATCTTTTGCTCATAATTCTTAGCTGGCTGAGGATGCTTGATGGCGTTATCAGCATTATCAATGACTTTCTCAACTTTATGCGCCAAAAGTTCCATCATTTCAATTTCACTCAGCTTCAGTTTTTCAGTGTTCCCATTTTCTTTGATGTGTTGTTTACTTTTTCTAACAGCGTTATCAATCCCACTTGCAGTGTAATAAGATTTGTCCCATTCTTCACCACTAAGCAAAAGATCAATTGGCTTGCAGTCTCCAGGTATCCCGATTTTTGATTTTAAACTCTCATTGCTTGCTGGAGAAGTTGACGCAATATCGAAGGACGCTTTACGAACAACTGCCTTTAGATCTGTTATATCTGGATGGGCGAATTTTTTACGTTTTGGTTTCTCAACTTTTGTTTTAGCAGAGTGAAATGTTGTTTTCATTGCTTTTATCATTCTTTCACCAGTACTCTCAGAGCTATCATCAGAGTGTCTTTCTGGCGTGAGCAACTGCTTCATTTTGGCACGAATTCCGAGTTTAGGCCTTAGCGGTGCTTTGGAAGGTGTTTTTTCTGACTCAGCTTCCGAATCAGTTTCTGATTCATCTGATTCTGGAAGAACGGAAAATTTGTTTTTGTGAAGTTTATCTTGCCTCGTTTGCTTTTTATCAAATTCGGCCGTGGAAACAAGGTCTGTGTCAGGACGCTTTCCATCTTTTGAAGGTTCTTTTGCTGTTGGTCTCTTAGAGAACATTCTTTTGAAGAATCGTATAAAGCCACACTGGTTTTGATGAGCAGGAGTTCTACGGTTCTCTGTTTCTTCGATATCAGATTCAGGCTTTGATCTTTTTATTTTGCTTCGTTGGATACTTCTAGAAGATTTTTTGGGGAATTTGTTTTTCCTCGAAGCTTTTGTTTCACTGCTATTGCTTCCTTCGTCTGAACTCGACAGTTGACTTCGTTGAAATGATGCCATTTGACTTCGACTATCTTTTAGAATAACTGGTTGAGAAACTTTCTCCCCTCTTTTGCCTTTTTTTTCATCTTTACCACTAGCACCTTTTCTAAAGAGAGGAATACGAAAATCGAATTTTTTCCTAGATTTTTTTCCCTCGCCAATTGATTCGATAGTACTATTTCCTTTATTGTAATCTTTGGAATCATCAAGTTTGCTATACTTGATGTATTGAGATCGTTGCCCAGCTTTATATATAACGTAAATGAAAAGTACAAAAATAAAAAGAATTATAATTATAATAACAACTGCCGCCACGGTATGCTTTCTGAAAATGTTAAGTATCAACGTCTTGCAGTTATAAGGATAAACTTTAAGCTTAGGAAGTCCAGAACTGTCTGTTCCATAGATAATATCGCTCTCTAATTCAGAGTCATCATTTAAATTTTTATTGCTAATCTCTACATATTTAGATTTTTCTGAATTTTGACGTAAATCCCATTTTACTCTCCCTTTTGAGTCTTTACTCAATTGCCACAAAGGAAAGGCCATATTGGAAACATCATTTGAATCCGACAACATGGAAGCATTTAGATTTAAGCTATTATTGATGTTATCTAGTTTGTAAATATCTCTTTCGAATTGTACATTTTTATTTGCTATTGTTTTTTCTGAGACATCTTTCTTCTCTACGTTTTTAAGTTCACTTCCGGTATCGCTGTTGATTTCTCCGTTATGTCTTTCGATTCTAAAGGTGAGATTTGTATTCGAATTCGGACGAATCCCCATTTGGAGTTTGTGTGGAGACGTATCATTGCTGATCTTGATGCGGATAGGTCCAGCTTTTACATAGCCGTCGTAGGGATTCTCTGTGCTGATTTCAACTTCGGTTGAATTAGAGAACGGTATCTCTTCTGTTAAATATTCCGATGATTCATTGCCGTTCGTTAATGGTACCAAAATGTATTTTGTTGAATATATATCCGGCGTGAAAGGGTATTGGCTAGTTTGATACTGATCCGATGAATGGGCATATAACTGCGTTAATAACTCCATTGGAGTTTGTTCAGTATCTGCTTCATTTGCGGATTCATTTTCTTCCGTAACTAGATTATTTTCTGACACTTTTTCAAAGATTTGTGGAGTGCTTAAAGGTTTTTCTTTTGAAACAACCATATTGTTTTGAAAATCTGTGTTTGAGGGATTCATGTCAATCATCGATTGCTTAGAGTTATATTCACTTTTTTGGATACCATGAAGTTGTTTTGGAGGACCATATAGTTTCCTGTGGTATTTCTTAAATGCTTGTCTTCTGTGCTTAAAAACTTCCCTCGGTTTTGAAGAGTGAAAACTAGAATCAAATTCGGTTCTTAAGCTTAAAGGATCAGTTTTTTCAATTGCTACAATTGAATTGCTTTCATCCTCATTTCCGAATGATCGCCCTCTGTTTTGATTTGTTTGCACAGATCTTCGTTTATTATTTAACACATTTAACATTGTGTATGGGGAATCAGCTTTGGTTGCAGTTTCAGTAATGTTTTTAATCTGTTTGAGGCTATCTATTTTTTTCTCATCAAATTCTAATACGTCATAATTAGGATATTTGACATTCAAATCTTTACTTTCTACATTCGGTCCGATGTGCTGAGCCATTATATGGTACATTTTGGTATTTTCTTTTTCAATATCCCTTTTATTTTCAGTTTGTCCATTTGCCTCTTTAAGCTAAAACATCAAAATTTTTAGTTTTAGTTTACCGACATTTAGGAAAACAGATTAGATTCACGTCGACAGGTTTATTTATTTAAACTTTTATGTTATGCAGTTGAGATAAGAAGTACGATGCCTTACTTATTGGGGAAAAAATCGAAATTCTTTTTAATGGTCACCGTATTATCGCAATCCTCTCAGATACATTTATCTTTACTGAAACCGTGTCTAATTATCGGAATAATCGTATTCATAGGGGGAAGTCATATATATAAGTGGTAAATAGTCATTTTATAGGTAGTAGTCATATATATAGGTGGAATAATCATATATATAGGTGGCAGAATTGAAGGAGTAGCTATCCATAGTAATGGAATTGTTTTCCGAAATGCTCACCATCAATTGGTGAAAGAGTGGGATTGGGAGTTCTACTTCCAATTGTAAAAACCACTCCTACTTTTGTTTAAATCGTTTTTGCTAAATTATTTGTGAAAATCAATCTTAGAAACTGAGACTGTTTGAATGAATTGAAGTCAAGTATGTATCAGAAACTTTTATGGGTACATTTTGCAAGTTCAGTACCCCTTCTTAAGACCAAAATTCAGTAAGAATACCCCGCAGAAAAAACGGAGCCACTTTTTTCAGTTAATTCTCAATGAAACTTATTTGCCATGTAAAAATATATGGACAAAAAATTTACAAGCGATTAATTTAAGTGATAGGTCTTATAAACCAGTGATTTCATTAGTAACTGTCAGCGTGTTATTCTAAAATACAAAAATTATAAGTTTCTAAGAACATTTAACATTTCTTCAGGGCTGAAAAAAATATGTGTCAAAACCTATTTCGATCGATTTTAAAACAATATTTTTGGCTCTGTATCACTTAAAATGGTAAAATAAAAGGAATTTCATTTAGATTTTGAATTTTCTGTTCTTTCTGGGACGTAGTGTAAATTAGCACTTTTTTCCGGTTGGCGAGAGACACTTCGGGTGACTTTCCTTGGAAGTAGATAAACTCAAAGATTGAATAATGTCAGCTAGAAATTGGGAGATATTTCCACATCATGATCTGGTACACCAACTACAATCGCCAAGACGCCAAATTGATTTTTAATGCGAAAAATTTAAAAAAAAGTGATAGTAATGTAGTAATGTAGATTTTTACCCGGCGGTGGCTGCGAGATATACCCTTCTAGATGGTAAGGCGTGTTTTTTAGTTTCTCGCTGGTCGGTGCAGCCTCCGAAGTTGCCAAGACTTGGCAATTATTCTGCAACAGATCACGATATGGAAATCAGACTCCCCAGAAATTGTAAATCATAGCATACAAATATTAATTTCACACAAAAAATTTGCTTTTGCTGGGAAAAATATATACTTCTGATTGAAATAACGTGACTGAATTTACTAAAAAAATTATCAAAAAGAAACATGTTATTGAAAAAGATATGAATTTTTCCCTTCAATTTTCCAGATAAATGATAAATTTTAAATATTGTTAAAGATAAAGTTACGCTCTTACTGTTTGTGATTTTAGTATTCCGGCTTCCACAAAATACAAACTATATTTGCCATCAAATAAAGATATCATTAGACGTAAAACTAAAAAGATTTTTAAAAATATAATCATGGCTTATTTTTTGTTATTGATTCAATCTTATATTTTATATTAGTCATCTTAAAAAATATTACAAGCAATTGAACTAAATTGAGACTTAATTATGTTGTTTATTTATTTAATAATATCAGCAAGTATGTAACTTGGGTTTGCTTGAAACTCAGCTTTAATTTTTTCAGTTTTTTGAGAAATTTAATGAGAAATGTGAAATTTGTCAATAATTCTAAATATTTATAGAAAAAAGTCATATTTTAATTGTTTTCGTTAGATATTTATGATATTTATAATTGCGTTCTTACAATTGGGTATACTATAGCCTACGTCACAGATCGTGTTATTCCTGCTAAATTTAACTAGTAAACAGCATTTTCTGCGAACCTGATTTCTAGCAACAAGTAAAAGCATCAAACGAAGTGTCTTGTTATAAGTCGCTACTCGCCAGGTTGGAATTGTATTAAGTCTAGTTCCTTTGGAAATAATTTATATTGTTGTTTTACCGAAGTTTATGAATTTAGTAAGCATATTTAAAACTCAGTTTATTAATTGAACTAAAAGGTCAATGTTATTCCTAGCAAGTGGAAGTAGTTGTGCTTTTTTCACATTATACCCAATCGAAGACGAAGTGAAGTGATTATGCCTAACCATGTGATTTAAATTAGATTCAAAATGGACACCCTTAAGCGATGTTACGCGTGTGTGTCGAAACTGATTGGCTTCGACAGATGCCACGATTTTCCTACGATGACGACGATTGCAGAAATCCAAATTAGCATTAGAATTTTATGATGAACTTTTTACTTTCATAACAACATTACTCGATATTTTTTTAAACGGAAATGGTTAATTTGAACCTGCTTCGTGCCGTTTGTGTTTGCATACATCAGGGTTTTATCTAGATTTCATTTCCAGAATTGTTTGATTTATTATTCAAATAAAATATATAAAAACTAATTTATTTAATAGCTATGGGATGTCGCCTGTTGCACTACACTTTATATATAGCGTTATTAAGGTCTTGTAAAGTAAACAAATGCTTAAAAATCAAAGGATAAACATCAAAAGCATTTTGATTACCTTAAGGAACTTAGAGGTTGATCATAATAATTGCCTTTCGATTCCATTCTGTTTCTTCCGTCAATGAAACAAGTTTGATTTTTTTCCGTCTCACCTTCTTCACTAGCGATTCGTTTGACCTACACAAAGCTATTTTTCTTCTTCACTTAAATATTGATTTCTGACACTCAGTGTGTATACATTTTTTCCAATTAAAACCTTTTCGACAAGGTTTCTAAAAATGTGTGTTTAGGGTAGTGATTAAGGAACAGCATGTATATAATAGTTAATATGAACATCCAAAAAAAAAAAGAACAGCAATAAGTAATTTCATATCAAAAATTATCAAGAAATAGAGAAGCGTAAGATATCCTGTACTATAAGCGTTCAATTTATTAAGAATGATTTTTTTTTTTGGAATTTTCATATTAATTACATGTAAAGAATTATATTCTTGTGTAAGTGCAGTAAAACTTTGAATTTCATTTTATAGGTCCTTATTACTTAGTTAAAGATGAATTCTAGTAAATTGTTCGTTATTATGACTTTGGTGGTTTTGCTTCTCGGAGTTGTCATCCTTCCAGAAATCGAAGCCAAACATCATCAACGTGGACAGCAAGGCCTATCAGCTCTATTGGCTGCTGGACTCCTTGCAAAAGTGTTGGAACATCATCACCATGGATGTCATCATCATGGATAACCATATCTCAAAGCACATAGCAATGTTTTTTTTTTTGTAATAATGTAAATATTTGATATTATTTTTGAGTATAATTTTTCACTGTGAATAAACATGCATTTGTCATAAGTTTTAGGCCTGATTTCTAAATTTTTATTTCTTTCAGTGAAATATCGTTTGTATATAATATGCTTTTACTGAAATCTCCATAAAAGTTAATTAAGCACTGAAAAACCAATATTAAAATAAATTTTATTTAGATTTAAAAAATATTTGAGTAATTTTAAATTGTGTACATTTTAATAACAATAAGATAGTAAAATAGCAATTAAATTTAACGAAAATATCACAAATTAGTTTTCGTTTAATTTGCCTTAACAAATTCAAAAATATAAAGCAATTAAATTATTGAATCTTGAACTATTGAGCAGTTAATCTATTGAACTTAAAATAACTTAACTAAAAATGTCGTATTCTCATTGTTTTTTCTTTTCAAAATGGTTCATATTGAGCTTTTTAAGGGCAATTCTAAAATTTTTCATTCACATTAAATCATTATGAGCTCAGAAATAACAGTAAAAGACACTTTTCGACCAGATCAAACTTCATCGCTTAGATCAAGTTCAACTTTTATAATCACAAAAAATGTTGTAAGAGCAGTAAAAAAGCAGGCTAACATAAGTATTAAAAAAAAAAACAGCGCAACAAGATGAAATAAGGAGAAAAAAACAAACCAGACGATAATTTCAGAATTTTAGTTGATTGTTTTTCCTTTTTTTTCTTTCAATTTTCATCTGACATTTAAATGTTCTGGCTTCTATCTAGAACAAAAATATCCTTAAAAATTGAAATTATTCACTATCTTTTTTTTTTAGTTTGTGACACTTTGTTATTGAGCAAACAACTAAATATGCGAAAATATGTAAATAAGTGGCTGCTCTAACAGTCTTCAGAATAAAATTTAATATTATATACAATAAGATATAAAAGTTAAATAAAGTTTTCTCCATTGAATAGCTTAATTATAAGTACTGTTACATATAAGTACTCTTAATTATAAGTGCTGTTATTCGTCCATACACATGTGATAAATTCTTACATTAGGTAAGTTGAAAAATACGATACTATAATGCAAAACATTTTAATACTTGTTATAAATTTTACTAGTAAACTTAACTATTTGAGAATAAAAATTACAAATGTTCTCATGATTTGGTTCAATCATATTTACTTTCTAAGTTTTCTTGTAATTCCGAATAAAATTGCTATAATGATGCATAACACATATACACATATATGAAAGAAGAAAAAATGGAAGAGTAATTTAAATTATTTAATACTTTTTTCCCAAATACTTATTGTTTAAAATTGCGGATACTCTTTCTTTCTACAGATATTCTTTATCTTTAGTAAAATAACTCCAGGGAGATAACAGCAGAATAATTCCACAGTATAATATAGTGGATTAACCTTTAGAAAAATGTTTCTAACTGTTTCTAAATGTTCTAGACTAGAAAGTTTCGAATCGTGTTTTCGTAATTCGAGACATGATTGAAGCGATGCTTAATTGCATCGATGATTTAGAGGAGCTAGAATTTCCAAAAAAGTAAAATATTTTTGCTTAAACTATTCTTGGAATTTTCAAAATAATAAAATATTTTATGTAATTAGAAGAAAATTTCAATACGACGTGCGGTATTTGCCTCTTTTGAACTAGAAATTTTTATTGAAAATTTAAGTGAGTTTTTCTGTAAAACTTGTTTTTTAAACAAGGCGAAATGTAACTTCACTAAAAGTTAATTTCGTCACTGAATAACAGAACTTCCAATGTGAGAGTTTTGTGTGCTTAAGAACAATTGACAAAGAATTTCATTTTCTTAATTAATTGGTTAATATTATCAAATTTAAAGTAATATAAAATCATGCAAAGTTATGAACAAAAAAATTTAATATTTCGAAGACTCATCGAATTTTCTAAATTCTTTCCAGAACTGTATAATAATCAATAAACTTTTCAAGTTCTTTAAAATTAAAAATAAATAATCTGAAAATTACGTATTGCTTGTAACTATAACTGATGAGTTTGAATTAGTTAACAGCCAGATAATAATAAATAATTCAGCTTGAATAACTATTTACCAATGATAAATTAAAAATAAATAACTTTTCACTTAACTAATCAAAAGGTGTAGAAGAATATGTTCAATACCTATTTAAATTAATTAGTGCTCTCCAAAACATAAACGCAAAAGTTATAAACTTTGCTATCTTATCTTTTAACCGGGTTGGTTTATGGAATTCATAACAAAACTTCAATAGTTTTAATTAATGTTTCTTGCAAATAACAAAACAAGATAAAGAAGGATTTTAGAATTAGCCTTACAATTTATTAGAAATAAATTTGGAAGGAAATCTTCCTTCCTCGCTACTTTTACGGAAGCTGAACTATCATCTTAAGGAAATATCCAGTAGCGTCACAAAGAATGAGTTCACCAGATAAATAAGGAAGTTACAAAAGCAGATAATGAGAAAACGGAAAAAAAAAGTTTTAAATCCCTTGATACGAGGGACTCAATCTTTCCAAGTTTCTTACTTACACTGCAAAAGGGCTTAGATGTTAATAACTAACTTCAAATAAAAGTGATAATGCTCCGCTGTTTTTTCTCACATAAAGTAGCATTTTCATTGCATCGATTTTTTTCTGTACACAATAGAGCTTTTCTTTCTTTTTCTTGAGGCTATTTATTAACCAACTTTTGCGCCTGCGAAGTTGGAATCTTAAATCGGAATTTCGAACACCTTAGACTAGCTCTAGGAGGGCTGAAATCTTTTCTGGAGTTCCGTGGCAGATGAGAATGCAAATTCCAATCGTTATTTGACGTGACATGGCCAAGATAACCTGGTTGGTAGGGCTTTGGACACGTGACAAAAGAGGCCGTGAGTTCGATCCCCGACGATAGATTTAACGTGACGCGTGCACATTAAATCTGTCGGATCACAAAGTCCTCCATGTTCCTATAACGAATTATACAACTGAGGGTACTGAATTGGAGATTGATCGTACTCTGGTTCAGGTCAAAATTACGATCTGTTGATGAATGGATGCATGAATGGGTCGGCCCTTTAAGTGGGCTGTGACGAGAGTGAGGCTCAAGTCCTATTTTTAGCCAGAGATGGCGCCACCGAAGCACAAGAATCTCCCCCTCTGCCCTAAATTCGCTTGGTTTCCACAAGTAAGCTTGCTGATATTGGCACGAAGCATTAGAGACAACCACAACAGGTAGAAGTTATCGCC